CTAACAGCGGCTGGATGAGCTGAAAACCGAGCTCAGTGGCGTGCCATTGGAGAGGTCTTTGTCTAGCAGTCGACGATTATGATGATGATGAATGAACCGGCCACTCAGAGCGCCGAACGTGGTCTCATTACCTTAACCTCTTATCTGCCGGTATATGAGACACAATAAAAAACAATTGTGTCTGGCGTATACGTCCCCGGCATACCAGGGGTTAAACGTAAAATAAACTCATGATAAGGCCTTTGACAAACAGCTATCCTACCGTCACCTCTTTTTATTTCTTGATGGGAAAATCATTCAATGATTTCTCCCACCCGGGTGAGGCGAGAGGGAGTGTCAGATTCTTACTGACTAAAAACCACCCCGTTCCTTCTCCTGCACTTTGAACCGGAGTCCCGGCAACCCGTTAAGTCTTCCGCGGCACTGTGTCAGCACCAGCCCTATTGGGCCCCATCTGAAGTTGTCTGATGGGTATTACCGTCACCTAGGATTTAAATTAAAATTTAACTTTAATAGCTCGATTTTTTGTTTTAGTTAAATACACATACATAATATACGTATGTACATACATATTTTTAAAATGTGATATGAATATTTTTTTTCTTATTTCTTGATTGTCAAGTTATTGTTAATAATGTAACTGGTTTCCTCGTCAGAATTCAAGTATTTTTTTCATCTTCATTAAACCAGTTTTCTGGCAAATGTAATCCTTAATTTTTAATGTAATTTTCTCAGTTATTTAAAACAAGGTTAGGTTTTAACCGCTTGAATGAATATGTATTTTCACATTGTGTCTCGCGTAGGTCCGCGTTTAAGACTCACGAAAGGTTTAATAGGGTCTCCGGTAACCTCACTCACATATTTCACGTCGGTTTTCTGTGAAGCCGTGGTATCACTCCGGTTGAGCCGGCCCATTCTTGCCGGAGCATGGTTCTCCCACACTTTAATATCTTCGATATCTATCTATACATATATAGGTACCTCACAGAAAACCGACGTGAAGCAACGCTTGCGTTGTGTTTCGTCGTGTGAGTGAGGTTACCGGAGGCCCAATTACCTTCCCCTTCCCCAATCTCCCCAATCCCGGAATCCCCAACGATTCTAAAACTCCTAATCCCCAAAAAGCCGGTGAGGCACTTGTAACGCCTCTAGTGTTCTGGTTATTGCTTACCATCAGGTGATCCGTCTGCTAGTTTACCGGCTTATGCCATAAAAAAAAACCTAATAAAAGCGTAGGAAAGTGAAAACTGTACATACATAGAATATTTTTTGGCGAGATCTACAATCGATATCGAAGCTAAAAATATGGTTTTTAGAATTTTTGTCTGTTTGTCTGTATGTACGTCCGAGTTATACTCAAAAAGGTGTATGGATTTACTTAAAATTTTGCATGAATATTACTCACAGTTCGGTTCAACATATAGGCTACATATTAACACGCTATCATTTCTGGGGGAGGAGCTTTGAAACACTATTCCACGCGGACGAAGTCGCGGGCACAGCTAGTCTTGAGTAAATAAACAAAAATACTTTTTTTAAAAGGCATATCTACAGGTCTATTTTGTGTGTACAGTTATGTGAATATTCTCCTCTTAATGATCTAGAAAGTAAACTTTCTAAATTACATTCAAATCTTCTAACGAGCAAAAAAACTAGATCAAGCAAAAAAACGCCTATTGTTTTAGTCACAGCAACGAAAGGTACTTTGTGACATTGCTATACAATAGGGTAGTTTCCTAAATTTTATTTTAATGTCCGTCTGGTACATTAATTTAAAACTTTAGACACGTATTTTTTCTTTTCTCACAAAATTAAATACTTTCGATGATATATTAATTTGAAATATCGTGTGACGTCACAGAGTGCCACATTTTGTAGCACATTATGACGTAACGACCTCCCACTCCTAAACTTAGCGCCATTTTATTTAAGTATTGCAACTTAATACGAGAAAATAAAAAAAATACGTGTCTTATATTTTGTCATTATCTAACTGACGGACTAAGTATATTTTTAATTTTGATACCCTGGAAACTACCCAATATCGAACAACCTCGTTTCACATGCAGGCGCAAAAATACGAGTTACACCTAAAAACATTTTGAGTTAATCTAATAAATAAAAATAATATTGTAATATTATACATTTTTCTAGAACAACAAACTGTGAGACGCGTCTAAGGGGATTTCATGTTCGATTCTCAGCATAACAAAAGAATTTTAGGATTTTCGAAATATTCATAGCAATAGTACAGTTTGGAAATGTGTCCGGTGTTTGACAATAGGCTCATTTTGTTATTATTTGGATCTCGAAATTATTGTGTCTATCTATCTATATAATCTAATACCATTAAACGAACAATCCTTGTATCTATATCAACGAACTAACTCGACAACGGCTCCGTCGATTTTCTTGATATTTCGTATTAAGCAGGTTTCGGAGGCTATAAATCGATCTACCTAGCCATCATTTTCAGATAAAAATGAACCGACTTCAAGAAAGAATGGTTTTTTTTGAGGGCGGAAAATCATCGAATGACTTCTCCCGCCCGGGTGAGGCGAGAGGGAGTGTCAGATTCTTACTAACTAAAAACCACCCCGTTCCTACTCCTGCACTTCGAACCTGAGCAAAGTTATTCATTCTTGACTTAAAACTGACTTCTCCAAACCCAGATCCAAAGGTTCCCGAGTGTACGGCGCGTTGCGTTCCGCGCGCGCCTCAAAGAGCCATCAGACCACCACGGATGGGGCCCAATAGGGCCTAGCCTAGTTGCCGATACGGAGCCGCGGAGAACCTAACGGGTTACCGGGGCTCCGGCTCGAAGTGCAGGTGCTGGAACGGGGTGGTTTTTAGTCAGTAAGACTAAAAACTGACTGACACTCCCTCCCGCCTCACCCAGGCGGGAGCAGCCATTCGATGATTTTCCCCCCTGAAAGAAAAAAACGTGGAGGTTAAACTCATGACTGCGATCTCCAACGCCTGTTAAACATGACTACTATCCCCTCTATTTTTTAAACGTTGCCCACATTAGGATTTTATTCTGTGTCGTGGGTGCGTTTAGAAACAGCGCACTTGTTTTTGACTGCACATTTGCCACGCAACGTACAGCGGGCCCGATTGTACGGAGGAACTCGTGTGATCCACAAATTGTTGATCCAGGTCTGGGTGTCATATATATGGGAACTTATATGTTCGTAAACGCACCCACAACACAAGAGAAAATCCTAGTATGGGGCAACGTTTTTTAAAAATCAAAAACAGAAAAAAATATAACATACAAGTTCACATTATACTCGGATTCGAAACAACAATTGTATGTAAACAATATAAATAAATGCTATTGTCTTCCTTATTACTGCTATCTTGATCTTAATTATAAATATAAAATAAATTATTTTACATGTTTCAACTACTAATTTAGTAAATCTAATATATAAAGAATATTTTTGTTTGTCCTACTAATTTTAGGGTTTAGTATTACAGATAAGCTTTTATTTGTATTAATAGTTTTAGTCCTTAGTTTTATGGCTTTTGTTAGATAGGTTTAAGTTATGATGGAACTGGCGTGAACTGTGTTCAAAAGTTCCTAAAAAAAAAAAAAAAAAAAAAAAAAAAAAAAAAAAAATTTAGTAAATAAAAGTGTATGTTTGTTTGCTACTTTCTTCGAACCTAGTGAATCAATTTTCATAATATTTTTATGTAGAAATAGGTTGAAATAATATAAGTTGGTTTGGTTATGACTGGCCAAGCGGTCGTATGAATCGAACTCGATACCCCTTGCCGCCGGGCCCGGGTCGGGTGAAGTATTACTGGGTTTTTAAGAAATTCACAGTCGTAGCACGGAGTCTGGAATTGTGCCCGGTATATGGCAATAAGCTCACCCCCTATTACATGGGACTCATAACCTAAACAGTGAAAAGTGGGTGTTACATTTGTACAGGTGCACCCTTGGGAATAAAAGGCATGATTTTGATATATTAAATGTAGGTTTGTTTTGACTCTCAAAGGATAGCTTTATTTTGGTTTTTTTTATGGCATAAGCCGGTAAACGAGCAGACGGGTCACCTGATGGTAAGCTATCGGCGTCGCCCATGGACACCGGTAACACCGAAGGCGTTACAAGTGCGTTTCCGGCCTTTTGGGGATTAGGATTTTGAGGCTCGTTGGGATTCAGGGATTGGGGAGATTGGGGAAGGGGCAATTGGTCTAAGTCATTGGGCCTCCGAGCATTTTATTTTATCGTTGTCGGTAACTTAGTAATTTTGTCGGAGGTTGAATATTCTATTCGGAAGTTTAGTTTTGTTATTCGAAGATTCATTTTATAGTCGGCCACAGATCGCTGGAGATTAATTTGTTTTTCGGAACCATTATTATTTTCCTTTTATTAAGTTACTTAATATTTACAAAACTTCTTTTCATTGGCGTAAATATACCGTTCGAGGCTTGTGGCAATTTCATTGAGAAATTCAGATGAGAACCTCAAAACAGGGTCTCTTCCAGCTGGGGGTCTGTGGCATTTGTTTTGCACCCTGTTGTAACCCTAATGTCTCTTTTATTATGTAGTTGCATGCATAATGACTGATCATTGTGGTCTCAATTTCGCATCCCGAGTATGACAATGATCTAAGGAGTAACGATGTTCGGAATCATTTCTATGGCAGAGTAAATAAAATTGTAATCAGTATTGCAAGCGGAGTCACGCGTGAAGGCTAGTCAAATACTAGTTAATTAAAAACAAAAGGTACTATGGTATTATAGTTTGACTGAACTTTTACAGAATAAACCTCCATTCGATTTAATGTAAATATACGAGGCTAACGTCGACACCTAGTCCTTAAAACACATAATTCGTTTAATTAAAATTCATAAATAATTTTAACTATTACGAATTTCTATATCAGTTTTTAATTTTTAGTTTTGTAATACCTACGTAGCCGTGTTATCATCACTATCGATGTAATTCAAAAAAATTGTGAATAAATTTAATTGTTTCAAAATATTGCGATTAATTTTCGGAGTGACTTTGTTAATAAGTTACAAGTGGTGATTAACCCACAAAATAAGTGACAGTTTTTCAAACTAAAGTTGTAATTAAAATTTAATTATTTTCAAAATGGTGTCTGCAGATGTATCGAACAGGTGAGAGTTATTTCTGACGTTGCATAGGTAACGTAAAAAACATTTTATCAAAACAATAATAGCTAGAATGTATTCTATTTCTATTGTAGAAAATGGTACAAGCCTTCTAAACTATTTAACAATTGATTAAATTTAAGTGTGGGAGAGCCATGCTTCGACACGAATGGGCCGGCTCGACCGGAGTAATACCACGGCCGAGCATAAAACCGACGTGAAACAACGCTTGCGTTGTGTTTCGTCGTGTAAGTAAGGTTACCGGAGGCCTAATTACTCCCCCCTTTCCCTAATCCTCAAATCCTCCACAATTATTAAATTCCCAATTCCCAAAAGGCCGGGAATGCACTTGTAACACCTTGGTATTTCGGGTGTCCATGGGCGACGCCGATTGCTTACCATCAGGTGATCTGTTTACCGGCTTATGCCATAAAAAGTATTCTATTTTTTTTGTGTTGTAACTTTCGTGAGACATACTAAATAAATTATTATGTTTTCGGCTTACTCACGTAATTATTTGACGAGGAACTCGACTAGTTTCAAGCCATGCTAGAGGGTCATATTCATGAGCAGCATTTCGCGACCCGCGACGCGGCGACTGTCAAATTATTACGTGAGTAAGCTGAAAACATAATAAATTAATTTTTGCTCAGTTCAAAGATTGAAAAACACCTCATTATTTTGAGAGAGAATCACCAAATGACTTCTCCCACCTTGGGTGAGCCGAGAGGGACACTTACTGAGTAAAAACCACCCCGTAACTACTCCTTTTTTGTTGACGGTGGGACCTTCAAAAGGCGCCTAGCTCTTTGGGTGAAAAAACTAGGGAATGTGGGATTTTCACCTCACTAAGACCTCCTCAGTGGCCACCACCCGCACCTGAAGAAGGCACCGGGTCCTCTTAGTAGACCAGCCCCAAAGCCCCCACGGTGCAACGCCTGTTAAGGCACCTCCCTATGGAGACCTATGTGTCTACCTAGAGCCTCTCTGTGCAGTGCACGGCGGCGGCGTGACTACTGTGCCGACATATTCCTTGAGGTCATTAGAACCTCGTTCCTAATCCTGTGTCAAGCCGGAGCCCCGGAACCCACTAGGTTGTCTGCAGTAACACTTAAGTTTCCGATCCTTGCCCTAGTACATTATAATCGTAATTGTACCACTATTTTTCTACCAGGACAACTGATCTTTTAAAAACTTTTATGTATTTAAAAAGTTACAAAAACAAACATAACAAGGAAATCTCTGATTACTTCTGTATGTCAATATTTAAATTTAAAAATAGCATATACTAAAACAAAGTTTGTGTACTAATAATAAATATTGAAAGTGCAACTCGCCGCGACCTCGCACGCTCACGAGGAAGAGCCCCTCTGTGGCTTGAAACTAGTAGAGGTTTTCTCAGTAAATGACTAACCCGCGATTTTTAATGTACCTATGTACGCTAATAATAGCTAAGTGTGGGAGAGCCATGCTTCGGCACGAATGGGCCGGCTCGATCGGAGTTATACCACAGCCTCACAGAAAACCGACGTGGAATAACGCTTGCGTTGTGTTTCGTGAGGCGAGTGAGGTTACTTGAGGCCCAATTATCCTTTCCTAAACTCTCCGATCCCTACATCCCCAACAATCTTCAAATTCCTAATCCCCAAAAGGCCGGTAACGCACTTGTAACACCTCTCGTGATCCGGGTATCTATGGGCGACGTCGATTGATTACCATCAGGTGTTCCATCTGCACGTTTACCGGCTTATCCCATAGACAAATACATTTTGAAAAAAAAAGTTAAAGTATTTATTTCAATTAATTCTTAATTAGCCACTTTTGAAACGTCAAAAATTTATTTGCCCGTCCGTCTGCCTGTCAGTGAAGCTAGCCGCTCGTTCCATAGTGTAGTTTCGAATGGAGAAGAACGAGCAAGAAACTTGATTATCGTCACCCTTTTTCATACATTTCACGTTCACAAGACACCCAGACTCGGAACAAAAAAATTGTGGATCACACAAAGAGTTGCTTCATGCGGGATTTAAACCCACAATACGTTGCGTGACTGGTTGTCCAGCCACGTGAAAGCAACCGTGCAATCTGATGTTATGAATAGGTCTATAAGAGTCTCACTGTCAGTTAAAACTAGTGGGGCTATTCCCAAACAGAGGCGGGCCTGCGGACGACCAGCATGGGTAGATCCCCGTCCGACCAGAACCTGAGCGTACGGCGCGTCGCGTTCCGCGCGCGCCTCAAAGAGCCATCAGACCACCACGGATGGGGCCCAACAGGGCTGATGCCGGTTCGGAGTCGCGGAGAACCTAATGGGTTACTGAGGCTCCGGCTCGACGTGCAGGAGAAGGAACGAGGTGGTTTTTAGTCAGTAAGAGTGTGACACTCCCTCCCGCTCCCGCCTCATCAAATCTTATTCCCCCGAGATTTTCCAGCCTTAAAAAAAGAACAAGAAATCCCAAACAGAGGTATGATTTCGTTTGACGTTTAAAGTAATCAAAGCGAGTAAACGATCATCGGTCTGATTGCTTAGATCAGGGTGCCGAACATCATCAACAGTCTATAAATGCCCACTGCTGAGCAAAGCCCCTTCTCACACGGAGAAACTTTGAGCATTAATGGTGATGACGCTTGCACAATGAGGGTTGGCAACTTCAAACTTATAATTAGAAATTATAAGCCCAGGTTTCCTCACGATGTTTTCCTTCACCGTTTGTCAGTGGTGTCTAAATAATCTTAGAAAGAACATATGTAAAACTTGGATAAAAGGTACATTGGTACATGCTGTTGGTAGGTTTCGTAGCCGCACCCTCATGTATGAGAAGCGTCTTAGCATGCGGGCTACCGGGACATGAGAGAGCCGAACGCGTACTCGTTAGGATAAAAACTCGAAACTCGATTCTCAGTTCTTCAAATTGTTCAGATTCTTCTGAAGGCCTCAGTTCACACAAGAAAACCAGCATTACGTCAATAAAAACATAAACTATTGTGTACCAAAAATGTAAAAATAAAATATCTGTTGCATATCTCTTAATCTATTGTCTGTTCTTACGTAATCATTCTAAAAATATTCACAAAAAAAATGTATTATATAAAAGTCGATGTTGAATATTCATACAGCGAATTAATTTAATTTATGAATTAAATCTCGAAGTAGTTACACGTAATGAACATTAAAATTAATGTAATGTATCGTCGCCAACACTCCGTAACAGTCCACTACTGGAATATGAACCTTCTCTACATAAGAAGGTTGCCTATAATCCCCATACTCAGCAGCCGGGTTGCAACCAACGAAACTATGTTACTAAAGAATTGTATTGTGAACCTAATTGAAAAAGAGCACGCTACGAATTATGCCCTACTCCCTACGTGCTACGACCTATTATCTGTTTGCTACGAACCAAGTGCTACGCACTACGCGTTACGAACAATACTTTACGGTCTAAATACTACGTACGAACTATGCCATACGCGGCGTACAGCATAGTTCGTAGCGGGTGCATATTATGCGCTACGTACTACGCGCTACGGTCGATGCGCTACGTACTACAAACCAAACGCTACGCGAACTACAGGCTACGAGCTACGACCGTAGTATTTCGCAAAACGTTAAGATTTAGGACCATGAAATCTAATTATTTTTTGACAGTGCGAGATGTATAATTGTCCTGTATGTTCTTACCAATATTTCCAATGAAAATGCTTTTTCTTAGATAAGACTATTTACACAACATAAGACAAAAATATTGTGTTGTTACAGATACATACACCACCGCATGCTTGGATATACCGTCGGCCTGATACTCCATGTCACCAACGTATACAATATGATAGTCTTCTACAAGGGTGATGTACTCAAAGACCCCGACGTGAAGCGCTTCCATAATAATCAGTTCAGGTTCTTGACCATATGGAATGTTGTAAGTAGACCAGTAGACCGAGTAGACTAAGTAGACCATGAAAAGACCGGCAATAAAAATTAACTTAATAGATTTTTTTTTTTTTTTCAAACGTTGCCCCACATTAGGATTTTCTCCTGTGTCGTGGGTGCGTTTACAAACATACAAGTTCACATACACAATGACACCCAGACCCGAAACAACAATTTGTGGATCACACAAAGAGTTGTTCCGTGCGGGAATCGAACCCGCGACACGTTGCACGGCAGTCGGTTGCCCAGCCACCGCACCACCCGTGCAGTCATAAAAGTCATAAAGTTCTTATATAAAAGTTAGTTTGACTGCACGGCTGGTGCGGTGGCTAGACATCCGGCTGCCGAGCAACGTGTAGCGGGTTCGATTCCCGCTCAAAGTAACTCTTTGTATGATCCACAAATTCTTGTTTCGGGTCAGGGTGTCATGTGTATATGAACTTGTATGTTTGTAAACGCACCTACGACACAGGAGAAAAACCTAGTGTGGGGCAGTGTTTTTTTTTTAAAAAAAGGGAAAAATATATTAATATTGTCATTTATTTTCAGTACATGCAAGTTATGTACATGGCTCTCGGTCTATCGTGTGACGTACTGACGCTTACGAATCAAGGAAAGGACAGTTCATTGCTGAAGAGTTTGAAGACCATCAGGGATCCATTGTTTTCTAATATTGTACTGCCAATCTCTGTTGTAAGTATTTTTGAAGATTACTACTTATATCATTCTACAACTATTTGCCTTTCTATTCAGCTTGCCCCGTTTGGTTTTACAAGCCAAATGTAGTAATTGGAATTTCACCCCCTTCCTGGCGACAGATCGATCTGATATTTGGTACACACTCTTAATCTTGACGACCATACAATAGTTTTTTTTCACCCCGGTAGAGGTGAAAAAAAAATATGATATCAAATGAAAAGGCTGGATTGATTAGATTTATTAGATTATTAAAATTGTTTAACATTATTATGTCCTGTGTCTTCGGTTGAATGATCGTAAGTGCAAACCAGTAGTCCTAGGTTCGATTGCCGAGTCAGCAAAAGAACTTATTAAGCATTTTCAGCACTTGGAAACATTTTCAGTACTAGCAAGGAGTCTGTAATTATAATGGCAATCATATAATATGAGGCGCGCCTCATATTATGATTGAAAGAGCCATCAGACTACCACAGATGGGGCCCAACAAGGCCGATGCCGATTCGGAGTCGCGGAGAACCTAACGGGTAACCGGGGCTCCGGCTCGACGTGCAGGAGAAGGAACGGGGTGGTTTTTAGTCAGTAAGAGTCTGACACTCCCTCCCGCCTCACCCAGGCGGGAGCAGTCATTCGATGATTTTCCCCCCTTAAAAAAAAAGCCTTCCATAAATGAAAAACAAGATATCTTATATACTTTAATATAAAACTGGTGAGTTTGTCTGTATGTTTGAACGCGCTTATCTCCGGAACTACTGGTTTGAATTAAGTAATCTTTGTTGTGTCGGATAGAACATTTATCGAGGAAGATTTTAAGCTATAAAACATCACGCTACAATTAATAGGAGCCGAGCAGAGCGGGAGTATGCGGGAGTATCTGTAACCACCCAATTTTTTTTACAGACTGTAAGCCTATCTTTCTGGACGATATTTTCCTACGATCGGGCACTGATTCTGCCACCCAGCGTTGACAAGACCATTACCCCGATATCTAACCATATAATGCATACATATATAGTGCCTATAGCACTATGGGAATTACTATTTAGACCTAGGAAGAGACCTGACACGCATTTGGCCAATCTTCTAATGCTTAACCTATATGCTGCTTTTTATCTTGTTGTGTGAGTATGGATTTTATTTTGTAAGTGGTATGGTTTATATTTGAATACGGGTTTTTGGAAATTGAGTGGTGACGATTGAGAAATTTAGCGTCTAGCGATTTTCGATTGGGCAACGGTTAATGGTTCAACGCTATGCTTAGAAGATGTATGATAATAGTGAGATAAAAAAATGAACTACTGACTGACTTGACTGAAAAAATCTCAATAGTAGCACGGAGTCTGGATTGTGCCCGGTATATGGCAATAGGCTCACCCCCTAATACTTATACCTTACTGGGACTCATAACATAAATAGTGAAAAGTGTTGCACTGATATGAGCATTAATCACCACGTTTTCTCAATGCGAGTTGGCGATTTAAAACTTATAATTAGACATTATAAGTCCAAGTTTCTTGACGATGTTTTCCGTCACCATTTGTCAGTGTAATAATCTTACAAAGTACATATAACTTGGAACACATTGATACTTGCCGTTGGTAGATTTCGAAGCCGCACTCTCATTCATGAAAAGCGAGCGTCTTAAATTTTGGGGCCACCAGCACATTAAATTTTACTTTTTACTTAACCATAATATTTCTGTTTCAGGATCGTGGTCGGCTACTTAGAACAAGGTCTCTGGGTGTACCCCATACTAGACAAGTTGCATGGAACGATATATTTCTACCTATTTATCGCTTCTGCTGTTATTATGACAAATACATTTTACAACCTGCAATGGTACCTAACTGACCTTATTTGGAGTGATAGCGAAAATAGGAAAAAAGTTCAATAAGTTAGTCATCATTAACTAACTGTTGCTCGTGACTTCATTCGCGTAGAATATGATTAAAATATAACTCTTTTTAGTTTCATTTTTCCAAAATAAAAGTAGTCTATACTACTCCTTAGTACATCAGCTACCTCCTAATAAAAGTCTTGCAAAATCGGTCCAGCCGTTCCAGAGAATAAGCAGTACAAATAGACGGACAGACAAAAATTTTAAAAACTGTTATTTTCGTATGTGTATCGTAAGCATATATCGTATGATGACGAAATCCTACGAGTGGCTGGAGTACGCTGGTTAGATACAGCAAAAGATCGAGAAAGATGGCAGTCTCTGGAGGAGTCCGTCACCTCAGGGATTCCCTAAAATTAAACTTAATATAAAATAATGTTTTTTTTGGAAATGTATATTTCTTTTTAATTTGGAAATATAAGGCTTTTTTATTTTTATTTTATTATATATCGTATGCATGCATGTAGTAAAAAGCGGTTATTTTAATATAATAAACAGACACTCCATTTTTTTTATCTGTATATGTAGATATAAGAATAAATTGTTTGCGTTGTTAATCGCGAATCTCGAGAACAGCTGACCGATTTTGCGAATAATTATTTTGTTAGGCTCATATTGCTAGGAAAAGGTTTTTTTGGAAAAAAAATACACGTGTCGATGCGTAGAAAATTTTCCAAGACGATATAGCGCGTATGATCCGCCAGTTATAGTATAATTATGTAAAAAAATGTTTATGTGTTTATTCATCGGATAGTGGTTATAAATGGCTGTATCTTGGGCTAAGTATAGCGTGAAACAATTAATATTTAGTAATTAACAGACTGTGATGGTTAAATTTCTTATTAAAATTAATTATTCATGTTGTTTATGGATTTTTTTTCGATTGTCCACAATATGGTGGTGGTGTTTAGTGTCCATATAAAGTAAATTAAATAAAAATATTATCTCAAATCATCAATAAAAAAAATTGCTTAACCTATGGCCAAGTAGCCAGCCCTTCGATCACCTGAAGTGTCAACCATCCTCCTTACAATATCTTTCTAAAGAAGACTATTATAATTATTACTGTTTTAAGGTGTAAATATTCTAGTTTATAGTTATTTATATTTTAAGTTGTATATATTTATTTAATTAAAAAAAGATATAATATTTAAATTTAAAATATTGGCCACGAGTTTGTAAACATTTCTGTCTTTTTTATATATACATCATGCCTTTATCCCCGATATATTTATCCCCGAAGGGGTAGGCAGAGGCAGACATTACGACACTTAATACTACTGTACAATGTATTAAACACTTTTCCCTATTTATGTTATGAGTCCCATGTAATAGGGGGTGAGCCTATTGCCATATACCGGGCACAATTTCAGACTCCGTGCTACATCTTCTTCTCTGTAGCTTTACTCTCGGCAGAGCGGTCGTGGTCACGTTGAGGCGACCGTATTTGTGTTGGAGGCTGATATAGCTTTCCTCACGATCTCCCGCCATCTCTCTCTGTTTGTGGATTGTCTGGCGCAGTCTGACACTGGGTTTCCCGTTGCCGATTTGACTTGATCAGTCCAGCGCAAAGGTGATCTGCCTCGTAATCTGGTTCCCTCTACTTTTTCGTGCTGCAACTGAAATAAAAAAAAAATTTTACTGTACCCGGCTTGGGAATGAAACTCAAGACCCCTTACCCAGTAGTCGCACTTACAACCACTCTGCAAAGATGTTTATGTTATGTATGTATGATATGATAGTTATTACTTATTACGTTCCAGCAGTTTTCGAGACCGTGACTACACAAATATGTTTATATATTCTTATACTGTTGTATAAAGCGAAAGAGTTTATTTTTTTGTTTGTTTGTTTAATCTCCGTAACTACAAGTCTGATTTGAATAATTATTGTTGTGTTGGATAGCGCATTTATCGAGGATGGCTATAGGCTATAAAACATCACACTACGACCAATAGGAGCTGGGCAGAGCGTGTGAAACCGCGCTGAAGTAGCTAGTAAGATATAAAGTAAATATAAAAAAATAATAATATCTACTGAGAGAGTGAGACATACTAATTTAACTAAAATCGCGGGTTACTCACGTGAATAGTGAGCTGCGCGACATCGCTGCAACCGCACACGCTGCTCATGAGGAAAAGCCCCTCTGTGGTTCGAAACTAGTAGAGCTTTATACAAATATGTTACATTTATATCTAATTTATATTAGAAATAATATCAGTAAACCTTGAACCGTTTGATCCGCAAATATATGTGTAAATCAAACTAGTTATTCCCCCATTTTCGTATATGTACGTAAATTTTATTTTGTCAAAATTACATATTTTAATAATATTTACTAGCGACCCGGCCCGACTTCGTACAGGTGCAATAATGCATGTATTATACATATAAACCTTCCATAAGAATCACTCTAGCTATTAAAAAAACTGCATCAAAATCCGTTGCGTAGTTTTAAAGATCTATGCATACATAGGGACAGACAGACGGTGCATAGCGAGAGGTATTCCTCGTAGCGCTCCCGTTTTATTCCGAACGATTAAAAATATTAAAATTTATTTCCTCGAAGCGCTCCCATGATTAACTTTCGAATAGAGATGTAACTTTACTAATTGAAATTATCGATAAGGACTAGGTAATAAGTAGAACACATTGTTATAATATACAACTAGCGGCCCGCCCCGGCTTCCCACGGCTTTGGTAATTATATTTTTTTTTTGTGTGTTTGCGTGCGCCAATTACCCTCCCCTTCCCCAATCTCCCCAATTCCTGAATCCCCAACGATCCTCAAACTCCTAATCCTCTAAAGGCCGGTAACGCAGTTGTAATGCCTCTGGTGTTCCAGGTGTCCATGGGCGACGCCGATTGCTTACCATCCGTATGCTCTTTTACCGGTTTACATGCCAAAAAAATAAAATAATAACCATTCCAAAATATTCAAAACGCACATTTACTTCTGCCGGCACTATCGGAGTGCAACCTGTCGTTTTTTTTTTTACTTAATGTTTTCTTTCTTAACTTCTGTCCCAGCTTTATTGTCTTTTTTTATTTTACTTATGCTGCATCGTGCCTGGTACTGAATAAATGGTTTGCCTTTATTTCTAAAAGAATTATGATTGAAGGACGTTATTGTAGGTCGTCTAATAATTATATTATCAGTGAAGGTCACATTATCGGAATTAGTTGTTTAATCGTTTAAGTATTTAAAGATAACATAATTATCTTGTACTTAGATATAGAAAAAGAACTCACTCACGGAAATAAAATATCAAATGTTAATTTTGATATCGCTATACAGCACTGCTGATGCGCTACTGTATAAACAGAAGAAAGAATTATAAACAAAAAATCGCTGGTCGATGAGGCATGTTTTGCCGTGAGGCGTACAAATATGAAATTGCGTAAATAACTATAAAATAAAACAAACAAATAACCTGTTAATATATAATATAGTATTTTTATCATCGTCGTTACTGTTATATATTCTCAATATATAATGCAATAATTATTTATCTTGTGAATTAAATAAGCTAATCAGAAACACACTCATATATTTTCAAAACAAAATATAAACATAAATAGGTTTCCCTATTGAAAGTGGCCAGCTTGCCATAGATAACAGAAACATATATCACACTAGCGGACCCAACAGACGTTGTCCTGCATATCCACTTGAATGTATAAACAAAAATTCATTCCAATTAGTTCAGCCGTTTAGGATAAATAACCTAGGCTCCGGCTCGACGTGCAGGAGAAGGAACAGGGTGGTTAATTGTTTGTCAACTTTATTATAAATATAGTTAAAGTTGAAAATGGTAGTGAGGTAACATTGTCGTGTGGGCAATTAGAAACCATGAGTCTAATTGCTATGTATGATCATCAAAAGCCTATAAATGCTCACTGCTGAGCAGAGCCTCTTCTCGCACGGAGAAGTATCATAAGTATAAGATCATTAATCAATACGCTTGCTCAATGCGGGTAAGCCCAGGTTTCCTCACGATGTTTTCCTTCACCGTTTGTCAGTGGTGTCTAAATAATCTTAGAAAGTACGTATAACTCGGAAAAAGTCACATTGGTACTTGTGGCTCCTCTACATTAGAGGGTTTGCCACAATCTCCACTCCTGGCTGATGGAGTGGAGATCACAGTGTAAAAGGTTCAGGTTTATCAGAGAGCGCTGCTGCCCGGTCTCTGTCACATGTATAGTACTTTAGTCTTAATCAGCTCTTTGGACAACTTTTTTTGAGAAACAAACATCATCGAATGATTACTGATGACTACAAAACCATCTTGTTCCTATTCCTGTTTAGAGCCGAAGCCTCGGTAACACGCAAGATTTTCCACAACCTCGGACCTCTAAAAGCACCTGCGGTTAAGTAGGGCTGGTCATAAATGTACATATTCTACTCTGCCATTATCACACTGTTCTTTTATGGCATAAGCCGGTAAACGAACAGACGGATCACCTGATGGTGAGCAATCGGCGTCGCCCATGGACATCGGGAACACCACAGGCGTTACAAGTGCGTTACCGGCCTTTTTGGGGAATAGGGAGGTTTGGGTAACCTCACTCACACGACGAAATACAACGCAAGCGTTGTTTCACATTAGTTTTGATGTCTCAGGCCGTGGTATCACTCCAGTCGAGCCGGGGCATGAGTCTCCCACACTTAAAAGTATTTGTCTGTGTAACTGTGTGTGTATAGTTCAATATTCGCCAGTTCCTATTGTCAACTCTTTATGCACTTCTTAGCACTTGATTGAGGCACAAAGATCTTGGTTAAGAGGTCAGTGCTCTCTGTGGGACAGTTTTAACATACAGGATTTTGCACTGATAGCAGTATCGGTTAAAACTATTTACTAATAAACTGGCAATGATGAACAATTGAAAGGAGCACGGTGAATGTGAACAGATCTGATCGATTGAGAAACTGCATAATAAGAAGTAAAACAAAGGTTACGGACATAACGAGTAAAATGAGGAGACATAACATCACGCCTTTTATCCCCGAAGGGGTAGGCAGAGGTGTACATTATGCCACTGTATAATGTAACACCCACTTTTCACTATTTATGTTATGAGTCCCATGTGATAGGGGGTGAGCCTATTACCTATATATATAAAATGAGGAGACTGGAGTAGAAATGGGCAGGGCATATAATGAGAGGAAAAGACAAGTGGAGCTGGTACCCTAGAGAAGGAAAAAGAAAGGGAGGAAGGCCTCAGAAGAGATGGGATGATGATAGGAATAAAATAAGAATAATCTTTATTGTACACCTTAAAGCAATATAAACATAAATGTCGAGTTACATCCAAGAATAGTAGGGCACAAAGGCGGCCTTATCACAAAAAGCGATCTCTACCAGGCGACCTTTGGGTGAATGAAGC